CGGGCCTCAGCCCCTGGCACCCACAGCGCCCTGTGCCGGGTGCAGCAAAGGCCATCGAATGCCCCGGGGAGAGCGGGACCGTCTCCGACGGGGGCCCCAAAGCCAATCACGGCGGGGAGACCCCTTGCGTGTGTCCCTGGGGCCCGCTCCCCACGGGGTCTGTCTCTCTGGCTGCTCAGCTCTGTGTGGAGGTCCGTCCTCGACTCAGGCTCGTGGGGGAGAAACGGGTGGTGGGCGACCCCTCATCTCCCAGGCAGCACGTGGAAACACTCAGTTAAAACGTGACTGTCGCCCAGCGGCCTGGCTCCGTGGCTGAGCGTCCACCTAGGAACCAGGAGGTCAGGGTTGATTCCCGGTCGGGGCACAGGCCCGGGCTGTGGGCTCGGTCCCCAGTGCGGGGCGTGCAGGAGGCGGCCGACCCAGGATTCTCTCATCATGGATGTTTCCATCTCTCTCTCCCTCTCCCTGCCTCTCTGACATCAATAAAGAGATGTTTTTAATTATGATGTAAAGTTGAGTGCGGAGACGGGAGCCTGAGTAGAGGCTTGCTTGCCGGGCGCGTGACTCCCAGCTCCCACGGAAGAACGCTGCTGCCCCCTAGGGCTGAGGCGGGACCAGGAGCACATTCCAGTCCTGGCCGAGCTCCCAGCCGCAGGGGTGCGCACCCCACCTCCCACGTCCGAGGCACTGAGAGAACTGGAAGAAAAACACTGGCTTTAGGACGAGCCACGGTTCACAACTTTATAAAAACATGCCTCAGAGCCCACTGTGCTCTCGGCTCATCCGTTCTCCTTTTCACGGGGGACGGGGGGGCTTTGAGAGGGGGAAGGGGTGCTTGGTGCCTGCTCTGTTCTCCGAGTTGATTGGGGGACAGGGAAGATTAACCTATGACCCCGGCCGCTCTGGTCGGACCTACCTTGCTGCTCACCCTTCCTCTGGGTCACAAGTCAAGGAAAAGTTCGAGGTAAACTGTAAACCAAGGCAATTCCTCTGCTTTTTTTTAAAATATGAAATTTTACAAATGAAGTCGACACTGATGAAACGGGTGTGAGAGCAGTGGAAAGCGGGGCCGGGGAAGCTGGGCCGGGGCTGAGGGTGCAGGGTCGGGCGCGAGAGCTCCCCTAACAACCAAGAGGCCTCACGTCATAACTCAGCCCATGAATCTGGAAGATCACAGTGTTTTTAAAGATCAGTTCACATATATTATTTTAAAATGGCCCGGCCGGTGTGGCTCAGTGGTTGAGCGTCAACCTACGGACCAGGAGGTCACGGTTCGATTCCCGGCGAGGGCACATGCCCGGGTTGCGGGCTCCATCCCCAGTGGGGGGCCTGCAGGAGGCGGCCGATCCGTGATTCTCTCTCATCATTGATGTTTCTCTGTCTCTCCTCCCTTCATCTCTGAAATCAATAAAAAAAAAATTTTCTTTTTCAAAGTGAAGTTTGTGGCCCTAGCTGGCTTGGCTCAGTGGATAGAGCATCGGCCTGCGGACAGAAGGATGGTCAGGGCACATGCCTGGGTTGCGGGCTCGATCCCCAGTAGGGGGCGTGCAGGAGGCAGCCGATCAATGATTCTCTCTCATCATTGATGTTTCTCTCTCTCCTTCTCCCTTCCTCTCTGAAACCAATAAAGAAATATATTTAAAGTGAAGTTTCTGGAGTCAGAGTTCCCATAAGGACAGTATTTGGATGAAGAGTTAAACTCGGTGGAGAAAATGGGCCAGAGGGTGGAGGGGGGAGCGGCTGAGTGGCCGGCTGCCCCTCCCTCCGGCCTCCTGCCGACTCGCTGTGCACCCCGTCCACGATGCACCCCCGTCCCCCGAGGCCCCGATGCGTGGGCTGCCTAATTACAGTCACTGCGCTGTGGCCAGGCGGCAGCCCTGTTCTCTACGAGGAATGCACATAATCATCACCGTCATCATTGGTACCTCAGAGGCCACGCCACCCGGACATGCTGGGCGGGTGGGTGGGACGTGGGTGGGGCCGGCCGTGCCTTTAAATCCCAGCCCTCAGCCTGGGCCC